ACATGGTGCTCGAGGACATGGTTTAGTGGTGGCCTTGGCAGTGCTAGGTTAACGGTTGGACTTGATGTTCTTAAAGGTCTTTTCCAACCTTAAAAATTCTATGATTCTATGAATATATAATTGTATAGTTAATCTGCACCTGGTTCCTCTAGCACAAAATACTGGGACACATTGGCATATGGCCATTTTGGGATGGTGCTGTCTGGAGTAACCCAAAATAGAACATTTTTAAGAGATTCTGGAGATTTTTATATTCTTGAGTCTGAATACCTCAATGGAGCTAATAACTGGTTTTTTTTTTTAACCTCGTGTAGCCTTGGATAAAAGAACAGGGCTATGCCAGCTTAACTGATTAATAGTAATCCAAAATTAAAGTTCAGTATTTGCATTTGACTTGCAAGATTATAGAGCTTGTCTCTACATGCTGTTGTTCTGGAATAGCTATTTGGTTTTAATTTCACAGCTTGCTTTAATGCTAATAACTTCTCAACTGTAGGATATGTCCGGCCACTAGAAACCTGTGCTGCTGTGGTCCCACGCACTGTCCCGTGTGTCCTGCTCCTGTTCCACCACAGTAAGACTGGGAACCACATGGCCTTTCCTGTCTTGCTGCCGTGGCTGCTGCTGCAGCGTCAGCTGCTGCCTTCTTTCATGTTTTCAGCCAGAAAAGAATTTCTCACCTTTCTGAGCAAGTGCTGCTAGTCTGCTGGTAAGGAATGTGACACCATTGGGAATTCAAGTGGGAGACAGTACCAGCTAAGCTCTCAGTCCACCTGTCGTTCCCCATCTTCCCCCAGTTTGAGATCTCTTGACCCACTTCTTCAAGGGGAGACTTAGACTATAACTTACTATGGCATTAAAACAGCTTACAATCTCTCCTGCTGTTGCAAAATTAAATGTCCTTGATCTGGAAGCTTGCTCATTTATGGTTCAAATGTGGACGTCATTTGGTAGCACAGTAATAAATGCCAAAAAAGGAATAACCATAATGGTGGGGTCAGAACAGAAGAAATTACTTGCAAGGCTCCTTTAATGAGGGTAATAACAGCTACCTATAGAGAATTTTGTTAAACCTCCCACAACTGTCTCATGCTATATAATCATTTCAGCTAATGCTTCTATGTATAGTATACTCTTTTTTTTCATTTTGCGTCTATGACTTCTGTATGAAGAAGTGAGTTCTCCCTACTCTAAAACCAGCAGAAAACTCCCTTTAGCCAGGGTACCGCAAATGCAGCCTGCCAGCTCTCAGAGAAAACACATTGCAAGTAAAACGTAGTTTTCTGTAGGGTTGTGGGTTATCTTTTGTTCTCTGTACAAAGCACAATGGTGCCATCTGAGCAAAGACAGCAATGTAGAGGACTTGGTGGGGTGGAAAGGGACAAAAGTCTCAATAAGGTTATAGACTGAGAGAAGGCAGCAAGAAAGGGAGAGTTTGCTCCTTGGGGCCAAGACAGGTTTTGACATAGAAGTAAAGTGTTTAGAAAAATGCAATCCCGGATTAGGGCAAAGCAGTCTTCCAACTACTCCAGTGCCTTCCCTGAGCTCACTCCATGAATGCAGATACTAACTGCATTATGGTCTAACCAATACGTAGAGCATTTACATGTATTTACTTCAACTGTGTATGTTTCCAGTGTATATGATCCTGTATTATACTGCTACAGGTGCAGAGACATGTTATTGCTTTACATGCCAGTTATAAGAAAGGGAGGGAAGTAAAGAAGAGCAGGAATAAAAAGATGAGATGATAGAGAATAGTGATTTAAAAACCCCTACTAGTGTGATATATTCATTGGTGGGCTTAGCACAAAGGCCTTTATGAATAAGGCCTGTTTCTTCATGCTAACGTGACAGACTAACAATATAAAATGGTAGTAGATGACAGATTCACAAGCACAGTTACCAGCTCTCTTAGGTTTCCAGCCTGTGTCTCATGGGATACTTTGATCCTGTCTGCATTTGGGGAAGATGCTAACTACCTAATGTAATAAGTCTGCAGTTCTGCTTCTATAGGGCTGGAGTCTTTCTGCTGTCATCTTATGCAGAGGCTAAAAAGTTTATTCTGATTGAATAAGACATTGCTGCAAGTTTCACTATCTTTGTAAAGTGGAAAAGCAAGCAGTCTGGTGTTCTAAACTGAGGCAATTTCTTTATTAAATAAATTGTGGCAAAGTCTGTCTCTCCCCACCCAATCCCTTTCTGCTTTTGCTGATCTAATAGCTGCCAGTGCATTGCATTTAGTCACTGTGGTAACCACTTAGAAATAACTAATGTCCATATAAGCAACCCAATAGGAACCAGAAGGCAGAAATACTGGCTTCCTGGATGACCTTCTCTGAGTGTCATCACTGAGGTTCTGCTCCTTCAAGATCACCGCCTCTCTCTATCACATGGCCTAACCCTGACCGTGATATTGCTCTCTTCTTTTCCTACTTTTTCTGCTCCTCCCTCTCTTCCTTCTCACCTTTTTTAACAGTAGGTTTCAAGTAACTATGGCAACAAGCCTGGGAATTTTCAGCTTATTCATTTAGTCTGAAATCTGGGTCATGTCTTTCTCATTAACTGAAACTATTGTATGGGGATAACTAGCGCAAACTCAGTTCTTGGTGCAAGAGAAAGCAGTGCCAATTACAGCAGCGCTTGCAAGTGCTTACGTGATGGCTGTATTTGGTCCACTATGTAGAAATATGTGAAGGTACAAAGCAAGCCACTTATAATTTTGGAAGTATTTAATAATTTTGAAAGTATTTAATAATTTTGAAAGCATTTAACCCATAATTTACCCAGGGGAGAACCATGCTGTAACTTGCTTTAATTGTGTTGCTTTATAGGACGGTTGGAATAGTCTCATGTCATGCTTGTTGTCCTAGGGTATGTATTAACTGAAGGGATGTGTTCTCAGAGTGGTATCGAGCAATGTAAATGAGATCGAGCAATGTAAATGAGACTAGTAGCCTTCCTCATTCTTTGAAGAGGGCATGTGGTGTTG